ATATGATAGTTAAATCCCAAACCCCAGAAATTACATAGAAATATAACACTTTCCATGAATATCATATAATACATAATTATATAAATTGCAAGACATAAAAATTAACCCTAATTAATGTAGTGTCTTTTAAATTTATTTTTTAAATAACTGTTGGAAAAGATTTCAAAAAGGTTTTCAAAACCAGTAAAGACATTTTCATGAAAAAGCACACAGGTTGTATCAACAATACTTCAATTAATTAATTAGCTAATTAATTAAATTTGAAAGAAAAAGAGAACACAGGTTACTCACTTCCAAACTCAAGCTATGATAATAAGTGACTTCCTGCATTGCTCTGACATATTCCTAGTAATCTAAATAAGCATTTAACTCTCAAAACAAACTTTTAAAAACAAGTAAATAAAGGAAGGTATTTGATAAAATGCCACTTCAATAGAATGTCATCAATTTAATAACAAATAGAATCATTTTTGCAATAAAACAAGGCAGCGAGATAACAGAGATTCCAAACTTCAAAGAAAAAAATAAGCAAAGGTTAATAAAAAGCAGTCTCGATGAACCAGATAAAATATTACGTGGCACTACTGCTGGTCTCTTTCACAGAACATCAGCTTCAGTGGAAAGAAAGAAAACGTCACATTCATGGCACTGAGAATATTCTTCTTATCTCTTTTATTAAGACACCAAGAAAAGCTCCATTAACTATTTTTCCAACATAACAGTGACCCTCAGAATAAATACTACTTATTCAGTTTCACTCTCAAATTTGAGGTGCTGCTTTGACAATACTCGTCAAAACTTTAAGATTTTTTTAATGCCACAAAGGAAATGTTCTTAAATCTCAAATATTAAAGATTTTATGATCAAAAGTAAATTACAGCTATTTACATAGAAACGGGACCTTGACCTTGCTGCTTCTGGTCTGCCAGGCTATTTTTCTCCATTGTAATATCTGAAGTCACTGCTAATCTAATTATGCACAAGGATTCTGTTTTCTGCAATTATTTTATTACGGAGGACATTTGGGGTGAAATTATTTTAAACCCAGCCAACTCCCACAGTCAACAATTGATTACCTAGTATACAGATTTTTCATTACCCTTGATACATAGTAAGGCCATTTCTGGTCATTTTTGTAGTTTTTGGGAAAGGAGGGAATAAAATTCAAATGATTCAAATTTTGTAATGTTATCAGTACACATGGTAATGTCCAGAAGAAGAGAATGAAAGCATTGTTTAAACTGAGGCTTTGCATGTCAATTACCCAATCTGCTGACCTGCCAATACCAGGATCATCAATCACGCCTCTGCCCAGCTGAACAGAGAACTGGGGCTTCAACAAAACATGCTCTGCTCAGTGAGAGGATGCCCCATTATAATCCCACCTCTTTTGGTTTTATTTGACAAGAGAAGAGTAAGTGAGCAAGATAGGGGGAGTGCAGAATAAATACTGCTTGGTCATTAGTTCCCCTTGAGACCCCCTCCACAGTGCTGGAAACAAAGCAGGAGCTCATTAAATATTGTTTAAATCAATGCAACAGCCAGAAGACCATGCGAAACATGAAAACACTCCAGATAAAGTATCTTTTCATCTAGGCCATTTTACACTTTTCCCACAATGATCCTGCATTTTCTCTTTAGTTCTCCCTTAGGTGTCTGATCTGCTTCTCCGTTAAAGTATGAACTTCGTGACTTCAGGGCCTGTGTGCTACATTTCTTTGTATACCACACACATGGTACTCAGTGAGAATTCCTTCCAAACGCTCTCACAACTCCACGTGAAAAGTGACACGCTGTCTCATCTATGATGGACTTCCACTTTCTGACTTCACAGGCATCTAGTGCAACGGCTCGGGATTCACTAAATGGAATATTCAGAAGGGCACGCTTCACACCCTTGATTTTTATGGCTAATTAAGTCGAAACATCATCTGCTATTCTAGTGGGTCACATTACACTAAGAATATAAGGACGGATCACTGCTGTTACTCAATTCATTTTTACCTTCCAGAGAATAACCGTCAATACAAGAGAGTTTTGAAACTTACCATGTGCTAGAACAAAAGAAAGCATACAGGTCCCTATTTGTGGTTGCTTTGGGCCTATCAATATGTATCTCCTAGTTATGTTTCAGGCTCAGGAATTTTCTCCTGAGCTTCTTAAGTGTAAGTGACAACATCGAATTGTAAAGCTGTGAGTCTGTGCACTGACAGATCTCCATGAGAGTAACCACCTAAAAACTTCATTTTGAGGTTACTGATACGCAATTCAGCCTGGAGACTCACTGTAAAAAGAACTTCTAAAACCAAACTTGAGAGAACTGTTTTATAAAATGAAAGTGCATCTTATGCAACATACTATCCACACTGTTAGAAGGGATTCTGTGGGCTAGTTGTGCAAAGCCATGGGACTGGGAGATGGTGGGCAGGGAGCAGGGCAAGCACTCTGGCCTTGCAGCAGCTGCTGGCTGGGAGGAAGAAAGCCTGCAGAACCGGATACCCCATCAGACAGAGATCCCTGGGTAGGGGGGTAGGGGGAAGAACAAGGACAGGACTCCTGAAGCGAGGCTGACTTGTTAAGCTACACTGCCCTACCTCTGGCTGTCACTGCTTCATGGTGGTGTATATATGCAGGGGAAAGGATGAGAGCAGGTTTTTAGAAACCTGTATAAATCAAAAAATGCGACTATAAGGCAAGGGGGTTGGGGAGCAGGCTGAAAGGAAAGTGGGTTTGGATGCTTATGGTCCAGGCAGACAGATCTGAAAGAAAAGAAAGATGCCACACGATCCCCATCAGACCAATTTGTCTTCAATGCATATTTATTTGCAGCTGAATCCTAATATGGCCATTGGGCATCCTTAGCACTGACTGATAATCCTTGCTAGGCTTGTAGCTTATTTGATGCTCCTAAAAACAAAGCAAAACAAAACTCCAATCCTGCATAACTTTTCTGAAAGATTTTTCCTCTTTTGATCTGGAAGTGTAAACAAACGTCACTCTGTATTTCTCCAAAGGGAAGAATTATGCGGAATAAAGATCAACTGTTATAATGCCCCTGAGGCAACGTATCAAAGGTGGGAGTCAATTTTCTTTTGAAAGTCAAATATGAAAACAATCTAAGACCAAGAATTCTGCTCCATAGGCAGCTTTTTAAGGATTTCCCTCTAACTACATAAGTCAGAAGTGCTAATATTATCCATGTTCAATTATTTCTAAGAACCACATAAATTTACAGATCATATTATGCCTCCATTTATCTTCATGAGGCTACTCTATTTCCTATTACATTAAGGGATAAAGGGCACAATCTTTTGTGTTGTTACATAAACAAATCCTCCTTCCCTTTACAAGTTGCCCCTGTTCTTCACAATGATGTCTTTATTTTACACAAGTCAAGTGTACAGTATTTGCTTCATTTCCCAACTAAAGCTAATCCATGCAAATTCAGTCGCTTTCCCTTTAATGTTAATTTACATGGAGCAGCTATGATAGAAATCCTAAAGCGACAGGCTCACATGTGTACAGTCTTTAACAGAAACTTGACTGGCGGTTGATTTAAAACAAAACAAGTCATAAAAAAACAACCTCTGGCAAAGGCCAAAGGAATTAAAACTACACCCTCTCTCAACCACAGCACTACTGTACCCACCCTTCGAACATTACAACCCACCCATTTACCAAAACCACAGCTTATTCCTGATTTAGAAAAGTAAATAAAGTTCATGGACTTAACTAAACTACACAACTCCAGCCAGAAAGCAAACGCCTTTTCTACGCCTGGCAATTACACAGCATCTGAACTAAAAATCCGTGTATTTCAGCTCAGTATCCGCAGACCGCCATGGACCACCTTCCTGACATGATAAACAACTGACATCTTCAAAGAGTATGAACGAGTCCCTCTTGTGCCATAGTTTAACAGACAAGAGCAAATGGCTTAACACGCATTATCCATGAAGCAGGGTGCGTTTAATTCTCAGTCCGTGGTGTATAATTACTGCACCCGTAAAGCACAGATTGGACTTAGCTGACTCTCTCACACTGCAGCAGTTTTGCTTCCCCAAAGAAGGGAGAGGACAGGTCCCTGAAAGATTTCAGAGCGGTTTTTCTTGGCACGGGAAGAATGTGATACACAGGGAAAACACAATCACGCGGAATGTCTGGATGAGGCTCCTTTGTAAGTCTTAAATAGCGCTCCCCCCGCTGGGCTGTGCCCCAGCACTGAATGGAGAAACCATTTTAAAGCCTAACTATTCGGGCTCTCTGGCAATGTAAGAGGAAGACCTCAGAAACTCTAAATACAAAATAGGGGTGTGTTTAAGAAATACTGAGGCAACCCCCCCTCTTCCACCAGGACTGATACTTCTTTTCCACCCTGAAGAAGGCATAACATGCTAAACCTGAGAACAGGGACCAGCCTTGGTCTGAAAAGGAACTTGAAAGAAATCCAAAAACTCCTTCTGGTCACAACACCAAGGGCCAGCGCTTCATGTGTTCATTTCCTCGATGTCACCCCCAACACCTGTTTAATTCAAGGGTTCGAGTAATTCACCGGTCTTCTTAAAGAAAAATGCAACTAGAGCATCCAGGATTCCCGAAGTTTTCTCGGGGCACTGTTTCAGAAAAGAGCTCCACTCCTAACTTCCAAGTGCTGTAAAGAGCAGAAGATTCCTTCTACGATGGTGGTTTACCAGGTTTACCACTGAACTTTTCACAAGTCACATGAGCATGCGGATCTGATGAGGAGGGGGAGAGAGTGCTGAGGACAAATAACAGCTATTTTATTCCTCTTGGAAGGACACAACCTCAAGCTGAATCTACTGGAGGAGCACTTTTATGTTAGACATGGAAGCAAATGAGTGACACTGAATTCCAATATAAAAACACACAAAAACTCCTCATGGGGCCAAAAGTCCTGAAGGGAAATCAATGACAGAAACAAAGAATTCTACATAGCAAATTTCTAAAACTGTTTAAATGAAAAAAAAAAATCAAGTCACCTTTCCCGGGCTGGGTTCTGTATGTCCAGTTTTCATCATCTGCTTCCACCTGCTGCCCACAAACCGAGAGCTCTCCATCGCTGCGGAACAGCCTCTTTGTCTGCCTGGACAAGGAGGAGAAATTTATCCAACTCACAGCACGGGAGAGGGAACCTGGATTTGACTTGAGTCTGAAGGAACCTGAAGAGCCTTCCTTTTTCATCTTCTTTCACATCAGAATCGGCTGTAGACAAAGGACAGCCCAGCAAACAAAAAGCTCGTTTTAAAAAATTGTTCCAGGTCCTTTAAATGAACCTGCTCTTTCGCACTTATTCAGACAATACTGAGAGGCAGGCAGGGCATCCTGCTGAAAGATCGCTCTGTGTCACCCAATTACAAAGAAAAGGAAAATGAAGGGTTAGGAAACCAAAAAAAAAAAAAAAATTTTTTTTTTTACCCTAGCCACATTGTGGTACTTGGTTTCTAGATCAGAAATATCCAGAGTCTCCCCTGAAAAAATAAAAATAACTAAAAGTATAATTTTAAAAATGAAGCAGAGTGTTCATTTCAGAAACACTTGTCAGGACTTGGCGAAGAGCAGAACCAAGGCACTCCGAATCTTTGGTGTGTACCTAGCATCCCATACTGTAATCCTACTCCTCTCCCAGGCATCTTTCCCCACAAGGGCAGAAAGCCAGCCGTCTGCTGCAGACAGAAGGAACTCCTCAGGCTGGAGAAAGAGATTCAGCATCAACCCAGGCGCTCAGTTTAAAGTTCACCCACACAGGTGACTTGGGAGAAATCAAAGAGTTTCGCTCACTTGTCCCAGCACAGCGCAGAATCATAAACCGCCCACTTGCCCTCCTTCCCGTCTGTGAACTGCTCGGGAGCCACAGGACTCCACAAACAATAAAGCAGGCTGCGTGGCTATTGCTTGGATTACAGAGCGAGCGCTCCCGTGAAAGGCAATAGGCTTTCCGGGTGCTGAAGGCACCTCATTGGAGACAGAAAACCCCGCCTCTCCCCAGCCAACACTTCAGAGGCAGCACAAACTTCTGAACTCCAGCAAAGCTACAGAAATGCAAGTCTGTGCAGAATACAGACTTCCAGAGATTTTTTAAAAAACCAAAACCTTGATTAATTATCATCAGACCACACTTCTGAAAGCAGGGCTGTGAGAAGGAGCTTTCAAAGACTGTGTAGTTATACACACATCTAGTTCTCAGGTGGAGTTGGGAACGTCATAATTTAAGGAAATGTACTTCCAAAGGGAATAAAACAACCCAGCTATTATGTCACTCCTGGCTTTGAGCGAAGGTGAGAGGCAGCCATTCTTGCCCCTGTCATTGTCTCTCCTGTCTCCCACGAGCAGCCGGAGCTCCTGCCTGCCCCCACCTCCAGCAGCCCCTGGTGTGTGTTGAGGGGGTCATTCCTCTCTAGCTTTGAATAATCTTCCTATCACAGATAACCACAATCTAAGATCTATACTAGTAGCAATTAGCTGCAGGCTCTTACCTCTTTGTAAACCCTTAATCAGGGCACGTGAAACCCCCAGAGCCACATGTTAGAATGCATTTGGGTGCAGCATTTCATCCAAGGCCAACATAATTCCATGGTCTTAGACATGTTAAAAGCTTCTGCAACTTCCCACCACAGAGATTTGGGTCAGCATCCTCTCCCCAAAGTGTCACTAAGCAACAAGTAGAAAATTGGGTCCATCTCACTCTCCTGTACTCAGCATTGAGCAAATATATTAAAACTAACAAATTGCAATACAAAATAAACTTTGACTAAAAATTATAAAAGCAGGATTTTACATCATACATCTACGGCAATTCATGGAGATTGCAGGAAAAGGGCTCCACACACTTACCAGGACTGGAACATTTACAGAAGAGAAAAACAGAGCAGCTGCCAAGGGTCTGTAGGATGGACAGCTCCTCCTACCATGGAAACCTCGACAGAGAACAGGCAGTAGGACTAAAGGACAAAGCTATGAAACAGTCCAGGCAGCAAAAATATGGACTCTGTACAAAACCTGAAAGTGTTCCCTAGAAATCAGGTAGTTAAAACACCTCAATTTACTGATGGAGAAATTCAGGTCCAGAGAACATATGTGACACACCAATGTCACATGAAGAATTCAGTAATGGACCGAGTCACGTCAGAAACCACGGGATTCAAAGCTCCACCACTTAACTAGGGATGGTGGCTCTGCCACCAAGCACTCTGGACCTGCTTTCACTATTAAACTGGAATGACACCTCTACTTTGATCACTATTCTAAGAGCAGAAATGATATGATTACATATAGTACCGGTGGGTAACTTCAAGTTCAAATATCCAACATTCTTTTTGAGTCAAAGACACTTTAAACAACAACAACAACAACAAATCATGCTGGAAAATACAAAACGTCCCGAATAGTGCTCACCATTTCAGAGGTTCATAGGCCCCCCTGACATCCACGTATGCATGCTCTAAGGATCCATGGACCCCAAACAAGGAATACAGTGGTCTCCCACTGATGTCTACATCCTGAGGTTACACTTTTAGTTTAGAAATATCTAAGCCCTGAAATAAACCTTGTGCTGTTCTTTATATTCAGGAAGTGCTGTTAAACACTTTTCCCAGCCTAGCTTTCTCAGCGTGCGCACGGGTACACATACAACAGCACAGATGAATTGCTGTTTTTACTGACTGGTGTGTTTTCCTCCGGTATCCCGTTCCTACACACATCTGGGAAAGAGCTGATGGGAGGGGCTGGAGGAATAGTCACTGCCAAGAAACCAAGAAGGAAAACTGGTCCATAACTCTCCCTCAAAGCAAGCACACACTTACGCTGGACTTCTAAGAAACTTAATGGATTTCCCATGATTCACAGGACCTAGGGATAAGCTTGCATACAACCAATTCTCCATCTACTAGCTATTCTGTGTTTCTGTTATTATATTGGGCTTTGATTATTAGTATCTTCACTTATGTAAAAGAAGGTCAAATAAATTAACTACTTTCACAACTGGATCAGAGTTCCCCTATGACCAAGATAAAATATGATGCCTTAAATTAGCTTCAGAGGAAATATTTATATTTTAACTACCCATGTTAGATATGTACTCTAATTAGCTGAGAAAATCGTAAGTGAGCTGTTTTGGAAGCTGTCACATTCATTCAAACTACATTTATGCAACAACCATGATGAATCATACACTTGAATTATCTGGAGTATCAACCCTAAAGCCATAAGCTCTACCCGCCAGCCCCTATAATCGGGGTTACGGCTACTTTGGGCCATGCATGTCATGTGTATCATTGCTAATCTTCACAGTAACCCCACAGTGGAAAAATCCCTACTTTGAGAGTATAGCCTGTTTCTTCAAATAGCTTCAGCTGTCATCTTCAGTGTAATAAAACATCTTAACCATTTTTCCCACGAAAATTTACAATCAAATGCACTCTTCCTAGACCTTTGAAACAGACATGCTGAACAGCTTTTATCAGCATTCCTTGCTGTGCAGTGCTTTCCCACCTCCCCCTCACCGTCAGGCTGTCAAAGTGAAACTTCTGCTGTCATCTTATATGCCAATAACTGCTCCCTTCCTACCATTTTGCCCCTGCTGAGCTCCAGGCATCAGGAAATCAGATAAATAATCTTACTTAAATTGTAGTTTTCATGGGGTTGATGAGCACTCTCAGAGGGAAATCTGCAGCTCTGGTAGAAGGGCTTTGTCACCACTGCATCCTGGCCAGCGCCTTTGTCCTTTTACTGTCGAGATGGAAGTTCAAGAGTTAAAACGGTTGGAGAAGCAGCCTCTGGATAACAACCCTCAGGTGGACCTATACCAGCTTTCTGACTTATTGTCTCTTTCATATTAAGTTCTTAGCACTTGAATGTGGTGAGAAATTTATCCAATGCTACTGACAAAAGGACAAGAAATTATATTATTTCAGGAATGATTTAAGTAATACATTAAAGAGAAGTTAAGCATAAAAACTGGGAGGCACCAGAATATATAAATAAGGGAAGTTCTAGAATCATCTTCTTTGGGAGTTCCTTAGTCAAATTATACACATTAATAAAGAAAGATTTATTTATATTTCTACCAAAAGTCAAAGGGATGGATTGAATACATTTGAAAAGACCTTGCCAAAAGACACATTATTTCACATTTCGATATATACTGACATCCTTAAAGAGGAGTTTAGCTCAAATGGAAGTGTTTAATTTAATAAAAATTGTTAAACACAACGGGACACAGGCTTGGACAAACCTCTCAACCCAATCAGGCATGTAATTGCTCTCTTACCATCTGTGTAAAATGCCAGCCAAGAGTGGGCACTCATTTCAAGTGCTGTCAGTGTTTGTGGCCTCCAAGGCCACAAAGGAGCACCAAGACTGTTAATTTCCATGTGTACCTTTCCTGCCCTGACCCTCTGCTTCAAACCTAGAGGGACAACTGGAACAGGCAGAAACCTGACATCAGAAACCAGTGGAGAACAGCACAGAGCTGGCGGGGTTGCTGGCTTGGCTGGGAATGGGGTGCACAACAATGCTTATGAACAGAGACAAAGGTGGAAAAAAAAAAAACAACAAACATACACCACTGTGAGGAAAGTCACTCTGAACTGTGTCGTGTTCTAAAGCAGCCCTGACCGGGCAGGAGCGGTCAAGTGTGTACCCTATCAGATTACCACGGGTCACCCAGACAACGCACGGGGACCTTCAGCTTCTAGGACAGGGTGCAGCAGTTTTTCCAACTGTCAGCTCTTGTAAATAATTGAAGAGTAGATGTAAATGAAAACTTTCTATGAGACAATTTGTACACACTGATAATGAAAGCTTATCTCAACATCTAGAAGTAAACAGTTTGAGCCAGACTTGTATAACTAACAACAGAAAAAAACAAACAAACAAAAAATCCATCTTGCCCCCAGGGCCACAGTACGCCAACTCTCACAGTACACTAAATCCTCCTTCCTTGTCCACCTCCCACCCTCTATGGAATTAAACAAATGATTTACTCCAGAAGGAAGTCATAGAAGATGAAACACTGCCAAGTAACTATTCAGAGACAGGCCTATGTTCAGGGTTCCCCTCAGCTACCACTGCTGGCAATATCTAAAAGAAAGAAAAGCACTGCCTTTTCATTAAGCTGTAGCTTTAAAAGTCAGAATAGGTCCCTTTCAATGGAAGGAGGAGTGAATCCCTCAAATGGAAAGATACAATGCAAGCATTCGTATTTATGCTTCATCACAAGACTACAATCCCACCATGCGATGACTTCTTGTGTGAAGAGGATTCCTGACCAGTTCTGACACTAAGCCTTGGCTGCACAGTTCCCAGGGGATCATGTGATGCAGGAACAACATGGCAGCACATTACGGCCTCAGCCCCCTGGGGTGCGGCGCACTGGGAGGGGATATGGCTGCCCCTGGCCCGCAGCTGTCACTGCTGGGTACTGGGGACTGTCAGGGGGCTTGGTGAGCAGTTGACACGCAAGAATGCAAACTTTGTCCCAACCTTAACCAAGAAAATGTCCCCAACCAAGAGGTTCAGATGAGATGCTCCCCTAAAACTGAGAATTGACTTTGAAATTCTTCTGACATAAGAAGATTAGGATGAACATACTCTGAAATAAAATTCCAAATTAAAAAATTTCTTTTCTTTCAATCACGATCTCCTTTGTACTTCATACCTTTCCTATGGGCTCTCTAGTGATCATCCTTGTAATTATTACCACTTTTTTCTACCTACTCAACCAGTTCTTCACAAACTTTGTTGTACACATAAATCATAGGAAATCTTATTAACATGTGGAGTCTGACTCAAAGTCTGGAGTAGGACCTGAAATTCCCAACCCCTAAAATCGTTCAGGTAGGGTCCTGGACCACCTTTGAGTTAGCATGATACTAGACTATAATGCTCTCTGAGGGCATCTTTTTGCCTCCATGCCTCTTACCTAACAGGCAGCCAGCGTTAACCCATGT